AAATCCGTCACAGTGGCATCCGTCACTGTCAGCAATAAAAAGAGGGGGAAATAGGTGCTTGGCCTTCTACAGGGAAAAGCGTCACGCATTAATGCGGACGTCGTTTTGCATAGGAGAAAAACAAGGAACAGCTGCAGAGGGAGAAAATCACCGCTTGTTCCTGGAAGGAAATAAAATGGGTAATTTCCGTATATAGAGAACCTGCAACAAGTATAGAGTATTTAGGTTAACAAGGGTATGTGGTACTTCAGTAAATACAGTGATTGGATTTGTATACCTGTTGATTGGGACTCTATGCAAGAGTCATTTGGTTTCATTAAAAGGTGAAAATATAGGATTAATTTCAACATACAGTATTGATTAGAGCAAAAGAAAAATAAGGTTGGAGTGTGTCAACCATGAGACTTTGGTCACTCTGAGAAAAGGTCATGTATGCTAATCCTCCTTCCAAGGCTGCTTTATGAACCTTCTCCCTCTTACTTCAAGAGTGTTTTCTGGGTTGTTTGCCAAGGAACCCTCCCTTCAAACGATGGCTAATGAAATTTCGCTAGAACTTCCTCTGAAGGAAATTCGACTTTGCCGGATGAGATAAGTGATCATCTGAGCCCCAGAGATTTTTATGACACTGGTCTGGATGAATGTTGGAAAGACGGGAGAGAGAACCCGAGGCAATAAATAACGTTTGCTGACTCACTTGACTCATTCTGAGATTGCTTTTATCTAGAGCCAGGAGGGGTGTGAGGGGTGAGATGAATCATAAAAGTAAGTGAAGAATGCTGTTAATTTGAACATCACTTTGCTCTAGGAAACGCAGTCAACAAATGTTGATTTTTTATAATGCAGTGAACGATGATTTGGCATAGATTTTTTTTTAAATGACTAAGTTGATGGCTACGAATGATTTTTCAGCGTTCAGCTAAGACATATTGCCTCACTGAAATCCAGCGAGATATCGAGGAAAATTCATCCAGCTTTCAACCATGAGAAATTTGAGGAAAATTTGATATCTTAAATGAAATTCAATTGTGGGATCTAAGAGAATGACAAGAAAATTTAAGGATTCGTGGGAACATTTTTCCTGGCTGATTCTCGTGTTTCTTGTGGGTGAAAATTTGATTGCTGTACCTCTCTTAATTGTATAAAAAGTTGAATCAGTCACTTTTTGCTTTTTTTGTCCTGAAGAATTTTGAAAATTATATCTTTGAGCTTACGCTGCTGTTATTTGTGTTGATTTATGAATCTTGAATTTTTGTTTAGCTGATACAATTTGTATCTTCATCAAAGAAGGACGCATCTATATGGACTCATTTCTTTTTTGAGAATGAGTATCAATTCAGGAAAAAACTTCCCAAATGTTCAAGCTTTCTTGTTATAATTTTATAACATCGGCGATGATTTGTGGGTACTAGATAAATCGTGAAAACACATCCAACTATAATTTGCAAGTTCATCGTCCGGCAAAACCGTACTTTTGCATTTCAAAAATAGCGCCGCCGGGTTTTCACCATTCATTTATTTCTGAATTTATTTTTTCACAAAATAGTTTTGCCTTTCATTTTTCTTGGGTTGACTTGTTCCATAAATCTGGCAAATATTTACCCTTGAACATCGACGCCTCGCCCTTTGAAAGCCGCGTAAACTCCCTTTTCGTGGGCAACTGCGACGATTTTTTCCAGGAAACCTTGGATGATTCTGGCCATGGCTTGTTTATTTTCTTCCTTCCTTTGAGATAATGACTGCAACTAAATTCGCCGCCGCGAAAAACGCTCACGGAAAGAATCACAGCTGGTCATTTGATGATGATCATGATGGAAGCCACCCCTCAGGGGTACCTGTCAAATAAATTCCAGAACAAAAAAAAAATTTTTAATCCTCTTCATTCTATGTAGAAGTTTTCGATGCAATCCATTTTTCAAGATATTTGAATTCATAGGGAAAAAGTAAATACCATGTCTTATTTGTTAATAGCATAAATATGCGATTAAAAGACAGATCGAAAATATATCTTTTGGAATGTCTCTTGATGAAATAACGCACTTTCTCCGCATGGAACGCCGAATTTGCTACAAAGATTCAACTTGAGAGGCTTTGGAGTTTGGAGACCCTACATTCTTGCTAGGAAAAATAATTCTGAGTGGGTCAAATTGGGGATCCTCTTGGCTTTAAACTGCTGGGCACATTTTGTTGATATACGCTACTGATCTTGGAAGCAATTAAGTGAATATTTTTCCAGCAATGAGCCACTTATCAACTTTCTTGTGGGAAGCATCGAATTAAATTGTTATTGCTCTTTTATTCTAGGTTTTATTGAATACATTTTGGAAGTTTACGAAAACGTTTGTCTAGATCCCATCGCAATACTTGAGCTTCCTCTAAGTTCATACTGTAGTAGCGTCCCAAAAAATAATAATAACCAGAGTATTTTCGGATTTAAAAAAATTATTTTAGAAAATGGCTCGTATTATATATTTTACAAGCACGACAGCGTTTAGAAACTATGATGGTCAGGGTTGCCGATATCGAGATGAGCAGAGAAATATCAGGCAGAGATTCATCAGAGATGAAAGTGAGTTCAGGATCCTTCGTTGCTGTCCTCAGGTCATGAATACAAGACCCAAGGATTCCCTTCCTTTCTTGTCTTCTTCCTCCTCCTCCTTCTTTCCTCACTTCTTCCAAGGATCGATCCCTTTTCTCCCCAGCAGAGGCTTGGCAACTTGCCAAAACACAAAAAAAAATAAAATACTGTACATCCCATACAGGGCGAAATTTTCGCCGCGGAACGAGCCTCGCGCATTTTCGCCCTACTCGTCGCTGTCTGGACGCAGTGAGATGAATATATCTCTCTGCTTTTTCTCTTCCTCCTGCTTCCCCCCTCTGACAAGTATATAGCAGGGTTTTGCTTCCTATACGTACTCTTCTTTTTTCTCTGTCTCTCTCTCTTGGCATCTAGATGCAGAGTGTGATTCAGATGTTTCGGGAGAATCAGAAAGATCTGCGCACAGAGCTATGAAATTTTCCGGAGGTATTTCGAAACATTTTTTTTTTCACAGAATGCATGATCAAATTTTTTTTTTTCGGATATGCAGGCTTGGAAATTCTGACCGGTTTCTTGAGTCGAGGAAGCATAGCTGCATGGGACAATGATTCTTTCATTCCTAATTTACCACAAGAAAAATTTCTAGCTTTAATAATCTCGATTGTTTTTTTAACACGATGTATTACTTGCCGATTTACCTGGTGAATTTGAGATCTGTGTGAGAAGTTTGAAAATTTGTTTCCCAAATTTAAAATTACATGCTGTCGGAAGCAGACTTTTGAAAATTGAAAATCTACTTCTTGGATTGAAAACCAATATACTTCCTCAAATTAGGACGCGTTATTTATGTATATTTTTCAATTTATCCTCAAAACAATTTTCTAGGATTTATTGCAGTGGTAATTTTAAATTTAAGGTGTGTATATACGGTACACTTTTTCTGTCCCTGTCTAAGGAACAATTCTTTATTTTTCATTTTAACACGTTGCAAATAGCTTTTTGTGTGATGAAAATTCTGCGTGACAAAAATAATGTGGGAACTGATTGCTTTCTTTTTGGTGGGATTCACTACTGTGATCAAGCTCTATGAATGAGTATATAGGTCTCTTTTTCAGAGAAAACAAAATGGATATGAAGTTTAAAATGTTCTCCAAGCCTTATTGATGACTTCAAAATGGTAAAAATGTTTCAGATTTCGTCTACCACGGAAATAGTTTGTTTCAAGCTTACAATCACCCAATTTAGCCCCGTCTTTGCCGTTTCTCTATCCATCAAAATTCAGAGTAATGAATACCCCTTTCTTGAAATTCAAATCCTCGAAAAGATTTGTCAAGGTTTTTGGAAATCGATGGACTAAATGACAGTTTGGCCAGATTTTAAGTACAGTACTGTACTATACTCTCGAAGTACTGAAATGTTCAAGTTTCCCACCATTAAAAATATGTGAATCCAATAAAGGAAGTTTATTTCGATTGAAACCCCGGATTTCATCTTATCATTCAGTTTGCAAGAACCTGTTTCTTTCGGAGAACGACAATTCTTGCTACTTCTTTTTTAAGGCGGAACACGAAGATGAGCGAAATTTCATTATGGACCCAAAATATGTCGCTTAATGATTTTAAACAAAGCCTAATGACGAAAGGAAGATGTAAAAGGAATTTCGCGCCCGAATTTGAAATTTTATCAGAATTATTCCTGAAAGCCCGTGCCTATTTGATCGGCTTCTTAAATTTGAATAACCCACGACTGACACTATTTTGGTATTTTTGAATTCGTATAATTTATCGAAAATCAAATGCAACCCAAAAACGTATATCTTGTTCATGCAATCCGTGTTTCTTCCATCGCTACGTCAGATGTATAGAAATATAGCTTGTACTGCTAAATTAATTGTACAGAGCGACTTTATTTAGTGCAATTTCTTTTCGTGACACAAGTGCATGGCAGAGGTCTCGGAAAAGCTGGGGAAAATAAAGAAAATCTGTCATCAGAACGACATCGGAAAAGCGTAAGAAATAATTGGGTCTTCGTCGCCTTCCATTTTCCTTGTTCGCTCCCCTCGGAAGCCTCTGCAAAGAAAAGGCATAAATGGGAAGCGAAGCGTGAGAAATGCGACTTTTGTCAATGCCCTGACGTTTCAGCAGCGACGGAAAAACGTCAGACCTTTTACGGTGTCAGCGACGTTTTTCGTCAGCAGTGACACGGTCCAGGAAATTTTTATTTATTTCTATATATTAATGCTATCTGAGACGGTTGATTTACAAGCGCAGTTCGTTTTCTGCTTCCTTCATTTGAGACTTTTTGGGTAGATGGAGATTGGCGTGGTATTTTATTTAAAAAAAATCATATTTGGTCATCTCTTGGCGGCGTAGCCATTCCAATTTTGATCATAAGTTCAAAATCATTGAATTCACGTGAAAAATCAACCCATCAATGATATTAAATTAAATTTATGTGCCACGCTTGAAAGATTCATGACTTGCAGCAATTACAGAATCATAAGCGAATAAAATAATTTTGAAAATCAAATTTGGGAAGATTTTGCGGATAATTTACGCATGTTCCAATTGTGCAAAATTCTCTCGTCAAGGAAATGGTAGTTTTTGGAGAACTTCACTTTGAAGATCAACCCATAATATTCGCGAAAAGTTACTGGAGTCAGAAAAGTGATACTGTATTGTGTTTAAGAATAATCCGTATAGGAAATAAACAGGAATGTTTCCTGTGGTTCATCTCAGCTGGAATTTACGCCCAGAAACTTGGATTCCTAAAGAAGATCATTTTAGAGGTGCTGACAGAACTTTGTTTGTACCCCTAGAATTTGTCTCTCCATCAAATCGATGTCCAGGAACATAATTCTTTTTTTTTTTCAGTAAGATTTCCCCTCAATCCCCGCTATTTTTTTTTCTCTGCTGCAAGATGAAATCTTTTCAATGCAAGTATTTTTTAGGTTTCTCGAGACTCTTTCGTAGATCTTTTTTTTTTGGTTTCTGCTTTTTTGCCCGACTTCTCACAATAATGGGCGCATGATTTTCAGAGGAAAGATCGATTTCTTTTCCTGTTTTTCTGGTTCGCTGTTCGTTTGTATGGCACGTGTCTGATCGACGTCGATTGCTTTTTTCTGGCCGCGACAGGGACCTTTTTGTCATGTAGAAGTTTAGTGCCAGGTGGCTCAATTTAAAAAACTGTTCTTCGCCTTGTCAAATTTTTTGAAGAAAATATTCCCGTTCTCTTGGCAGTGTTAGACTGCCGGTTATTTTCGGTCTATTTAATTAATGACAACCTTCTATTGTGCATCCGAGGTCTTAAGTACCCCCTAGGGTCTTAAAGTATGATTTGTACAGTTGAAACTAAGTTTCCTAAAACAACTCAATTGGAAAGAAAATTTACTTGATCTGTTGCAGAAATTCATTCATGCATTAAGAAATTAGGCTTTTGAAGTCACTGTTAGCATAATAAGAAGCCTGTGCTTCAGTGAGATGAGAATCTTGGGTGATCTCTTTCTTGCATCTGCATTGTTTTTTTTCGCAGCTCAAAATCTGTGATATGATCATTAGAAGAGATCTGCAAGAAATGCTGTTGAATAGAAAGAGTGAAAAATTTTACCTGGAGGCATGGTCTTAAATTTAATTCAAACTTCAAGCATTTCATAAAGTATGGTAGTATACATGCCACCTAATAAATTTATTCCGCCATCAACAAGAGGAATCATTAATTTGATATGTAGTCCAGAATATCTTCTTTTGCTGCGATTAAGGCAGGACTGCAGTCATGAAAGATAAATGATTATTCTGAATTTCCTGCAGAATTCAAAATTCACATAAAACTCTCCACCATTTTGAATTCATTTCATGAAAGCATACCAGCAAGTTGAAGTGGCTCACATCAAAATTAATAAAATATTGAGCCAAAATTGTTTACATCTCATGGAATTGTTTACCAGTGATGAAAGCCCCCAATCAAAGCCCAATCACTTTTGCAAGGCATAAATACTGCGACTTGCTCAGGTGAATTTCCTCTGGGTATTCTTTCGATGAAGCAATTTTAATGAATCTTTGCAAAATATTCCATGCAAGAACCTGTACTTCATTCAGCACTGAGGACTTACTTAAGATCAGTATCCCTGGCACATTCATGAATGTTCGCTAGTATTGAATTTTTTCCATTTATGTCACCTTCAATTTTAATGTATACATGATATTTATTCATTTTGTGCTCTTCATGCACAGATCAAGAGAATAAAAGAGAAAGCACTCTCAATGAATGAAGGAAAATTTTGCTTCGGGTTTTATTTTGATCATGTAACTTCAATGATAATTGATTGGAAATATTTTATACTGTAAATTATTTAGTAAAGCAGCGGTGATTCAAAAAAAGAAATATTTCACCTGCAAGGAATTTATTCACAATATCACGCCTGCATTCCACGCCTGTTTCCATGTTGTCCTTACAAAGACTTAATATAGATTTATATACAGTATATACATATATCAATTTTTCCTCAGCATTTCATGGGAATAAAATAAAAATGAACTTTTAAATCGGGACGAGAGATTCCTCCGGGTATTTTTTTTTTATCACGTAATTCCGATCTTCATCCGGAATGCATAATTATTTGCAGATAATTTCTTGCAGATCTCTTCTAATGATCAATATCACAGATTTTAAGCTGCAAAAAAAAAAAAAACAATACAGATGCAAGAAAGAGATCTGAGCAAGATACCCAGTCCTTAATGAATTTTAATTTAAAGTGCAAATCTACATCTATGGCTGCAAAAATCAAAGAAACTGGAGCATCCTCACTCCTTGGATGTTAAAAGAAGTCCTCTGATTGTTTCATCACAGGTTTCACAAAAAAAAAACAATCACATGCACAATCATCAAATAAAATCTTGCATGGTAAAAGAAAAACTTGCTTCACCAAAGAAAATGATTATGCAAAATCTGAAATATTTATTGATCACTGTAAGAGATCAGTGCATTAAGGGAATGCATATTTATCGACAAATTATCCAGTAATGAAGTTCCCATTTGTAAATACAGTACTACTTCTCCTGCCAAAAATTAATTCGCAATATCACATTCATGGACACTTGCCGGCATTTCGTCTGTACCTATTTCATACCTCGTCTCGACAAAAGCTTATTTATTTTTTTCGCCCCTTATTTTTCGCAAATATGAACTATAAAAAGCACTGTTAATGAATGAAGGAGAGGGAGAAAAAAACTGAACATTTAAATAATTCGAAAAAAAAGCGGGACGACACACACACACACTGACTCGGCCAGTGCCGACGAGGTTCTGCCGGCGATTTCGACGCTGGAACTTCAATGGGACTCTGCTGCGTCGCCGCCGGAGGCGGACAAAAAGTCGCCGCCAAAAAGCCTTTCCTCTCTCCCTCACATCATCCAACTTTTTGCCGCGACGGGATTCTCTCCAAGTTTTCCCCGGGAATGTTGAATGTAATCCAGAGATGGGAAACCAGTTGTGTGGAGGGAAAATATGTATATATACGTATATACATATATGGCATGAGCAGTGGAAAAGACGCGACGAAAGAAAATAGGTCAGGCACACTAAAAACCTCTTACTTCGCCAACTGGACTCGTGAGTGACTCGTCGGGCGACGAGCAAAGCACTGACTGACTTGTTTTTTCTTATTGTCTAGAATCAAAGGTGCGCCCAAGATACGGCCCGCGGGCCAGATCTGGCCCTTGGAGGCCTTCAAACTGGACTGCAGACCATCCTTACAAAATTGCCTTAGCTTAAGTTTGAAAGGAAAAAAATTGGCTGAAAGCAGTGACATAAAAATTGACAGTTATGCAGATTGTTCAATCAAGAATGGACAAGAAAATATTTCTTCATAATCATCAATGGCCAAATGCTTTGCCTTGTTTGTCATGAAAAAAGTTCAGTTTCCAACAATTAAATACAATCTTTGCTGGCAAGTCCAAACGCAAAGACTTATGAGCAAGATAAATTACTCAGAGAAATTTCCAAGCCTGCTGAAAAAAATGGAGGGACTTGTTGTGTTGTTTAAATTCAAAGGAGTCTAAAATTTTGAAAATTTTAGAGGGGTTAAATCATTTTTACCATTGTGCCTCACGCTTGCTTTTCAATGTGGCCCTTGACCACTTTTGAGTTGGGCACCACTGCCCAACTAGAGTCTAGATGTCAAGAACTTTTCTTGTTTGAGCTGTTTGATGGATTACTGCAGTATAGACTTTGTGATCCAGGCAACTCCAAAATTCCTGATGTGGCATATATTTTGTCATGCCCCGCAAACAGTGAGGATGAATTACATCTTCCCCATGGATGCAGTAGGAAGAAAAAAACATCGAAAACTACCAAAAACTAGTCAGATTCAAGCAAAAAATTTGAATTAAAAATGATTAAATCCCGTGAAAAAATAATGTTAGTTTTCCCCGGTATGAAAATATTAAACGTGGAAAGCATTTGGGAAATTCAGTCATGCTGGATCTTTTTATTGATTGCGAGATTCCATGATATTACAGTACAGTACTTGAATGCGTTGTTCGAGTCTTTTGTTACTTATCATTTAAAATTTGTACGATGTCCACAAGCAATAATATGTTTTAAAGAAATGAAAAGTCTTCGATTCTTTGAAAAAATTGCTTGAAGAGCGCCTGACAAAAAGGACGAATATTTGGATGAAAGCACACAAAAATTCGGCGATCAGGAAGATATTTTCAAGTACAACCCAATCAAATTTACATTACTCTGCTGTAACAATAGATTGCGAATAAAAATAAAAACGCTTATTTTAATGAAACTGTGGAAATCCATCAGAGTTTACTCAACCATTTCGAGCGAAGACCTTTGTCAGGTGGAAATGACAAAGACCTTATCTAAAATAAGTGTAAACCGTTCGCAGCCTTTAGGAGGCCGGATCCTCCTGAAGGGAGTCCCTTAAGCACTCGTTTATTACAGAGCACACACAACGCCCAGAAACAGAACCAAGATCAGAATCCTTAAGATATCTCAATCATACACACAAGTCACACACAAGACAAGTCCTCAGGAAGGAAATCAGCAGATTCCCTAGCAACCATACAGAAGCAAGGCAACTCGCAGAGTGATGGCTTCGGAGCCTCACAGAATTCAATATTCATAATCATGATTGTAATCTTTCACCCGGTTCCGCCAGGCGGTAACCGGGTGCCATTCAGGACCTTGGTTCCGGTGGCGCGTCGTAACTTTTGAGTATGTGGAGCCTGAGCGAGGATGCTACGCTCGGGTCTCCCCTCGCACTATCTTGACCCCACAAAATCCCCCCCCTTTGGATGCTGATGGCCGACGGCTGGAGGGATCCAAAGGACCCCAAAGTCGGGGTCGCAGAGATGTTGCTGCTCTGCGGGGGCCTGGGAGGGCAGTTGGGATCGGCCAGCAAGGGCGCGCAGCGTCCTCGACTGGCGATGGACGGAGAAAATGGAGGCGCGCGTGTGCATCAACGCCTGTAACAGACAGGCGGATTAGTCCGTCATTCAGTTTGGGGAAGTCGCCCAGGGCGGATCTCCCAAAAAGTGCGTAGGAACAAGGGTCAATTTCAAAAAGTGTCAAAAATCAGATGTCAAGTGTTGTGTAACTCCCCGTGTCCCAAAATACTTATCAAAATTCTGCAGTGTCACCCGTTTCAGCCATTCCCGGCATGGGTGATGCTGGTTGGATCCCCAACGGCATCTCGTGGCGTTTTTTGAGCTGGCTTCCTGATCAGGAACTGCGCAGGCGGGGGCCCCCTGGGGAAAAGAAAGACTGTGGGGTTTGGTGTAGGCTTACCCTGAATTGTAGGTGGTTGTCGCGGAGGCCTCCTGTCGCTGTCGGGATTCGTGGGTAACCCTGCTGCCGACCTTCTCCCAAGCGGAGGTAGGTCCTGTTACGCGGAAAGTTGTCGCGTTGGTCCCGTGGGCTCCAACCTTCTCCCAAGCGGAGGTAGGTCCTGTTACGCGGAAAGTCGTTGCGTGGGTACTGTTGCTCCCAACCTTCTCCCAAGCGGAGGTAGGTCCTGTATGCGGAAAGTCGTCGTGTTGTCGTGCGCAGGCTCAGAGTGCTCGTCAACCCGTGCGAGTGACGGGTGTCCAGGGTGGTGATGTGGGTGTCCTTCTTCCATTGCAGATCATCAACCATTGCGTAAAACCAACAAAACAACGCAATCGCGCGAAACCAAAACAAAAAAAAAAGATATTTGCAATCAAAAGAAAGACGACAAAAGCGATCACCCGATTGTGATGGAAGACAACACAACAAAGGCGCCATGGCAAAGACCCGGACAAGACATCCCAAAGACGAGAACGAGATGAAAGGTCAGTGTCGGATAGAATGGAGTCGCCGAGGAAGCGAGGTCTTAGCGGAGACCATCCTGCTGCAACAAAACGCCGCGCAATCGGAAGAGGACGCCTCATCAGGTACGTGGTATCCCACCCTTCTCATTCTCTGATGCTCAATACTTGCCGATGTGCTCCATCTCAGATGTGGTGGCGGAGGCCGTGCCTGCCGGTGGCGCGGAGGACACGGTTGTTGCCGCTGTGGCGGAGGGGGCGCTGCCTGGAGCCATGGATACTACTGCTGTGCCACCAGCCGTTCCAGAGGTGCCGGTGGTGGACGTGCGAAGCGCGTCGGCGGCGGCAAACGTTGCCCGTCTTGTCAATCTGCAGGAGGTCGATCTGCAGCAGCTGATAGCGCTGTTGCCTGTAGCTGCGGCAGCGGAGGGAGCAAGCGTTTGGCAGCGTCAGTTGGAGGCGCAGGTAGCTCGGGATGTGGTGGCAGTGGAGGCCGCACAGGAACAGCTGAACGCCATGCAGGCGTCAGTTGACGAGATGGCCGTGGCGGTGGACGCCGCGGAGGTGGTTGGTCGCCAGCTCCGAGAGGTTGAAGGAGAGATTGTTACGCAGGAGCGTGACTTGGCGAGGCGTCTTGCAACGCAGTTCCAAACGGAGACGCAGGCGGCACTGCGCACCTTAGGAGGAACACAAATGGAGGGCAGATCTTCCTGGGTGAGGACAACGTCACCCTTCGTTGAGATGGTAAGAGGTGTCCCCCCTGTTGGTTATATTGGAGATTGATGACTTCTGGTGTTCTGGCAGGACCATTGTGGATGGCGAGGCTGTCCACCACTCCAAGCCTGGAGTTTGTCTGGGGACCGGCGGTGGATGCTGTCACCGCATGGGTCTTGGGAGGGCGTTCGGCCCAGGAAGCAGTGCTGCCGGCGTTGGAAGCAGCGGCGGTGGCGACGATCTCTGGGGCGCGGGAGTGTATGCGGCCTCCAATGACTCCTCAGTGGCAGTCGACCCCACAGCAAGAGGACACAGCCGGTAGCATGGCGGAGTCGCCGCCGGCGCCTGCGGATGCGTCCTTGAACATGTCCTGTGGTGAAGAGTTGGATGTCGAGATGCTTGACGCTCCTCCGGGTGAGTGGATGCTGAGGGTTGTTGTGGTTGGTGGTTAATGCCTTACCTTTCTGACAGTGGCAGATGTGCCGGAGGCTGAATTTTTTGAAGTAGTGGCGGAGTCGTGGAGGTTCAAGCCTGAGGATGCCATGGCATACGTCACAAACGTCCGCCAGTGGCGGGGCGCCGTGGGAGAGCGCTCGCGGTTTATGCGCAGCACCCAGCTGCCAACGCCGGGGTGCACTGTGTCCGACTACTGCTTCAGGTGCGATCAGGTGCGGCTCCCGCCTGTTCCCCTGGGATTCTCCACTGGGCGGCGATGTGTCCTTGTGATGGGAGATTCCCTCTTGTCCATGTCTCGCATCACGCGAGAGATGTACTGTTACTTCGGGCGAATATCTGCCCGGTCAAACACCCCTCAACCGGTGTTTGACTATTCTTATTTGACCGAGGATCTGCCTTTTGAGGTGTTCCAGGTGAGTTGGTCCCTAGACGTCACATAAGAGAGGTTGTTTGAGCATGCATGTTGTTCTCTGTTTTCGCAGTGGAGTCTGAGTGGCCTTGCCGCCGTCTGTGGCAGAAACACCCTGACCCCATCCGCGGTTCGTCAGCGCATGTGGGCGGATCTTCAACTGCCGACAGACATGGAGTTTGTCGCTGTGCTGGTGAAAATCAGCACCAATGATGTGAAGATGTTGGTGTCCCGAACCGGCCAATTGCCGTTTAGCTTGGTGATGGCATTCCTTGCGCAATTGTGCACTTATCATGCAGAACTGTCATCGGAATTTGGATGTCCGGTTGTGGCATTGGGCACCTCCCCCGACCGAGGAGACCAACGAGGAGGTGCATGGCGTACGCCATGGCCAGGATGGTTTACCGGTGTTGCCGGTACGTGCTCGTTGTGGACCGATGGCCTTAGCGCACCGGATCCATGCGGGGGGCCTGATCCTGCAGGCGATCTATTGGAGTTGGCAGCGCCGATATGGCCTGTTCCAGCAGTACGGATCGGAGGAGCATCGGTGTGGCTATTACGCTGCACCGACGCCGTGTGGCTGGTTGGTGCTCTGGATGGCCCGGTGCGCGGACTTCCAGTGGGATTTCGGGCACTTCTCGCCACCTGCAGCGGGCTTTGTTGCCCGGGATTTGGTGTTGGTGTGTATCTGGTCCGTGGCAGGGATCACTGGGGAGGAGCCGGCGCCATACGGGTTGTGCCCGGGGCGCGCGCCCAAGTGGCGCGCCGATGGAACTGCCACGGATGGCATTCCTCCGCTGAGCAAACATGACCATTGCGCAGCAACTGGCCTGCGCCCTTGCATGCCCCAGGCGCTGCCTGAGCTGGATGGTGTTGGCGCCCTTGGCAACCCGTTCGCACAGTGAGTGTCACCACAAGACCTTTTTTTGTTTGTTTGGGGTAGAGAATGTACGTATGTTCTTGTGTCTTCCAGATTTGATCCCACAGGCTTCCTTACCGGTGCTTATGGAATCACCTACAGTCATGTCGGCCTGCAGGTGAATCGTGCCCATCTGCCTCTCCAACGTGCGGGATTGCTGGAGGTTGGATTTATCATCATGCATGCGGGACACTGCATGGTCATTGTGGAGACCACATGCTTTGGCGCATGGGCCGTGGGCACGCTTGGGCGCGTGTTCATACCATATCAGCTGCATCATTCCCGTTTTAACCGTCGCCACAACGCGGACAATGACGGGTAATCAGGTTTGTGCGGAGTCGAAAACGTTCAGTTGTAATTTGTTGTGTGCGGGGCCCCGCCGCTTTGAGGGCTACCGCAATTGTCATGGTTGTTTTTCTGGTCCTATTGTTTGCTCCCCTTGTGATGTCCCGCGTTGTGTCCCCCCTGACCGTGACCCCTTGCCAAACAGACTGTGTTATGAACTACTTTCGTTGTGATGAGACCAAGTGCCTGTTGCACTGTTTGGTGGTATTTTTGTTGTTGTTCAAATTGATGGCATTAGCATCTCTTGGTTGAATTGCGCAAACGCGCGGAGAGCGCCCGAGTAGAAGGGTGGGCAGGTCTGGTTGATCTTGGTGCTGCTGCAGTATTGTTATGAAACTGAGTTGTGATGAATTCGAGTGCGGGTCAATTGTTGTTTTGATCATTATAAACTGATTTCTCCCGCACTTCTGTGTCCACCGTTTCTCTTAGTTCACATAGAGTTGTTGCAGCGCATAGAGGAGATCATCATCTTCCTGCTGAACGCAGTTGACACTAATGTCCATAGGTTCAGAGGTGGCGGCACAGGTAAGATGGACGGCGGCATTGTGCCGCAGGCTGGAGTGTTTGCCAGTTTGGGCAAATCTGGTTGCCGCTCCACTTCTAGCGGTATGAGGTTGGCGATCAATTGACTGCGCAGAATGTGGGGGGTTGATGTCCCGTCGGCCTTGTACCGCCGGGAGACCAACACGTCCACAGCGCAGATTTTGCCATCTTGCGGGCTGGCACAAACTTCCACAATGCGACAGAGTTTCCATTTCAGGCGTTACATCGGAGTGTCACCTTTGAATGTCGCGACTTTGAGCAATGCAACCTGACCCACTTGGGGTTCCAGGTGCATGGGTCCGCGGCCCATGTGAGTTGGAAATGCGCGGAGTTGGGTGACGTACCCAACATAGAATGCATGCCATAGGTCTTTTAAGTAGCCCATACGCAGCTTTGTGCACCATTGCAAGCCCTTTTCGCCTGCGTACTCAAAAATTGTACAGGTGGGGGACCGTAGCAGTACAGATCCCATGCCGCATCAGTCAGATCCTCTCCCCCCGGGT